AAGAAAACCCATCTCCACGTCCATCTGCTGCACCTAAAGGATCTTCTGTCATCCTTTAACTCTGCAGTCAGAGACGCCAGGGTTTCCTATTTCTCCAACCTGGTGTCCCAGAGCAAAGGGAACCCCAAGGTGCTGTTTAACACCATCAGCAGCATCGTGTCTCCTGCCTCTCCTACAGCCTCCATCCACTCTGTTGCAGACTGTGAGAACTTTCTGTCTTTCTTTGTGGACAAAGTCAATAAGGTTAGATCTAGCATCTCTCCTTCAGCCTTATTGCCGCCTCTCCCGACTCCAACCAGGCCCATCATCCTAGATAGCTTTGCTCCTGTTTCTTTGCCTGAGTTAACCAAACTAGTTAACTCTATGAAGACCTCTGCATGCCCCCTCCACATCTTACCCTCATCTTTGTTTAAAAGTGCTTTTCAGTCCATCGGTCCCAGCGTGCTCTCTATAATTAATGCTTCTCTGGTCTCTGGTCAGGTCCCTGCTTACTTTAAGAACGCTGTAATCCACCCGCTTCTTAAAAAACCGAGTCTCGACCCCTCTCTCCATAGCAGCTTCAGACCCATCTCTAAACTTCCGTTCATCTCCAAGATCTTGGAAAAGGTTGTGGCTAAACAACTCACAGCTGCTCTTGATGAACATAACATCTATGATAGCTTCCAGTCAGGTTTTCGTAGAGCTCATTCTACTGAAACAGCTCTTCTTAGGGTCTCTAATGACCTTCTGACTCACAGTGATGCAGGGGACTGTTCTGTTCTGGTCCTGCTGGACCTGACTGCAGCCTTTGACACTGTTGACCATCACCTGCTACTGGAGAGGCTGAGAGACTGGGTAGGCCTATCAGGATCTGCTCTGTAGTGGTTCTCCTCTTATCTCTCTGAGTGCTCCTTTTCTGTGGCCGTCTCCAAGTTTAGGTCCTCCACCACCTCTCTTACCCATGGTGTCCCACAAGGTTCTGTGCTGGGGCCTCTGCTCTTCCTCCTCTATCTGCTTCCTCTTCAGCACATCCTGAGCTCCTTCAAAGGAATCTCCTACCATCTTTATGCAGATGACATCCAACTGTACATCTCCTTTAAGCCCCATGAGATGTCTAAGCTGCAGCTGTTACACACCTGCTTAGACTCTATCAAAACCTGGATGGTGGGAGCTTTCTTCAGCTGAATGAAGATAAGACTGAGATCTTCATCTGTGCCCCAGACAAGCTGGTTCCCAAAGTCAGAGACTCTCTTGGTCAGCTTGCTTCCCACACCAAACCTTCTGTCAGGAATCTTGGCGTGACCTTTGACCCAGCTCTCACCCTGGATTCTCATGTCAGTTCTCTTGTTGGCTCTTCCTTCTTCCATCTCAGGAACGTTGCTAAGCTGAGTCCCATTCTGTCCCGCTCTGAACTTGAGACAGTTCTCCACACCTTCATCTCCTCACGCTTAGACTACTGTAACTCTCTTTTCACGTGTCTGAGCAGAACCTCCCTGAACCGTCTACAGGTGGTTCAGAACGCCTGTGCTCGGCTTCTGACCAAGTCCTCCAAACACACCCACATCACCCCGCTTCTCCTCCAGCTTCACTGGCTGCCAGTCAACTTCAGGGTTCATTTCAAGATCCTGGTTCTGGTCTATAGAGCCTTACATGGACAAGCACCATCTTACATTGGTGATCTTCTTAGTCCCTACACCCCCAGCAGGTCCCTGAGGTCCAGTGACCAAAGCCTACTGGTTGTGCAGCACCAGGCTAAAGGTCAAAGGTGACAGATCATCTGCTGCTGTGGCCCCCAGACTCTGGAGCTCTCTCCCCCTGAGCCTGAGATCAGTGGACTCAGTGGTCTCCTTTAAAAAGCAGCTGAAGACTCACTTGTTCAAGCTGGCTTTTGTATGACCTTCTTCACCTCTCTCTCTTTATTCTGCTCTCCCCACCTATTCCACCTTCCTCAGGATCCACTGATTTCCCTCTTTCCTGTTCACTCTCTCTCTTTCTTTACATTTTGTCTTTTAAATCGCAATTGCATATTCTTGCTCATTTTAAACATATTTTTAAACATTTTCTAAATGCTTTTCATGTTTGTACATTTTTTTATTTTTTGTTTTTGTGAAGCGCCTCGTGATTTTTATCTTGAGAGGCGCTATAGAAATGATATTTTCTTCTTCTTCTACTGCCCCCTATTAACAGGGAAAGTACACACAAAAAAATTGGGTTGATTAAGTATGTGTTTTGGGGTCTTAGTTCATGCTTATTGAGTTTAATTCTGTGTGGTGTACTTTATTTTAAGGAGGGGAGATGTGTTCCCAGAAAATGAATACAAGCACAAAGGAAACTTCTACATACATTGGTAATGATAACATGTTTTTATATTAATGCTCCTCCTACACAAGTGATGTTTTGGCAGATAAACTAAGGAAATGACATAAGTACAGAAAAAATAAATACTTAAATAACAATAAAAACAAGTTGGACATTTTCTCCTTTTTTCTTTTTTCAATGCTCTGCTGAAGTATCGAATTGGGACTTGATATTGGCAGCTACTCAAAAACAAAGTCACTCTGACTGGGATTCTAAGCCAAAAAATGTCATTGGAACATCCCTAACTTTAAGTTGTTTGGGCTCAAACATATGGTGACAATAGGCTAGGCCACTGAACAGTACGGTTCACCTGGAATTATAAGTTTTACTAAGAAATTATACATTTAAATAATATGAACTCAGAGTAATTAAAAACTTAATTGTCCTTAAAAACACAATTACAATAAAAAAAGTATACGAAACAGCTCCGATGACTCAGAATTAACAAGCATCAAATTAGAAAAATTTAAGTAATGTGAGCCTGATAATTTGGGTTAAATCTAAATCTGGGTTTATAGTGTACAGTAATGTCATCATATTGTTTAAAGCTTTGCTGCTCCCAATATTTCAGCTTTATTTTAAAAACGTTTTTAATGCATGCAGGTTTTTATGGGGCGACGGTGGCACAGGAGTCAAGTGCTCGCCCCGTAATTGGAAGGTTGCAGGTTCAAGCCCCGCTCAACCTGTCGCTGTCATTGTGTCCTTGGGCAAGACACTTAACCCACATTGCCTGCTGGTGGTGGTCGGAGGGACCGGTGGCGCCAGTGCTCGGCAGCCTCGCCTCTGTCAGTGCGCCCCAGGGCAGCTGTGGCTACATTGTAGCTCACCCCCACCAGTGTGTGAATGTGTGTGTGAATGAGTGAATAACTGTGTTGTAAAGCGCCTTGGGGGGTTCCAGGACTCTAGAAGGCGCTATATCAAATACAGGACATTTACCATTTTTTATATGCAATTTTGTTCTTTTAACTAGAAAACTGAAGGATAATGGGAAAGTTTCCCAGGACAACAAGCACTATCTGCTCTTATGATGCTGCTCAATTTCCAGAGGTATAAGAGGATGTTACTGGAAGAAGAAGAATTATGTAAGAGTTAAAGCTGCATACTGTCATGATTCTCTAGGAGACTCTGGAGCGAACACACCCGGACACAGGAGAAAATTTAACAGTTTTATTGAAAGTTCAGCGGGTTCTCAGAATGGTGGAGGAACTCTGGACGGGTTCACAGAGGCGGTTCTGAAGGGGAAACAGAAGGTGAGTCGAGGAGCAAGGAGACTGTTCTGATAATAGAATTGAAGGGGGTGAGCTTACTGGTCTGCGTGCCGAGGAGTGTTTGGAGAGGAGGTGAGGTCCAGTGTGGCAGGCTGAGGTTGAGATTTCGCTGGAGGCTCGAGGGTGGACAGGCAGGTGGAGAAGAGGAGGATCCAACAGGGCATGGATGAAAAGGCTGAAGCACTGCAGCCAGGAGGAGCACGGGGTGAAGCAGACACCACGGTTCAGGGAAGACGCTGGGAGATCCTGGGAACTCAGAAAGTCGGGCCGGCTGCGAGACAAAACATTACTCGTGAGAAAATCACTGTGTGGCTTAATCATCTGGCATCTGCTTTCCTCCTCCGGTCAGCTTTAAGTGCTCCACCTTAATTGCCTCTGATCGATGGCACCTGGTGCGGCCTGCCTGTCACACCTGAGGAGAAGAGGTGAGGAACCACACACACACACACACACACACACACACAACCTCACACATACTGGATATCCCGGATACTTATATATCGATCTAAGTTCATACATCAACCTGCTTGATCTAAATAATCTTTAACAGTTTTGATATTAAACTTGTCTAAAAGCAAACCTGTGACTGAATGGAGCTAAAATGAGAATGGTGAGTTTTGGATGCATGAATGAAGTTCTCAGATGGTTTCTTTCAGAGAGAATGAAAGGGTGGAACTGATGTTTTGCGGATAACTGAATTATTTTGAGAGAAACAGCATCAAACGCATCCTCGTGTTCTACCTCACCCAAACAGGACTCTCTTGTGGATCTGGAGATCAGGAGGATGGTGATTCATCCAAGATGACACCCGGCTGGTAGAGGAGACGCAAGGGTCCGATCGTCTGGTCCAGAGTTGTCCTGGGTACTCGGCTGTATGAAGCGTTTGGCAGATGAACATTCTCGTCTTTAACTTAACTTCAGAAATCAATGACTCTGGCAGAGTCTTCGTTAGCTGGTTTACAGTTACGTTTATTCTTTGGCTATTCTGGTCGGCGTGACTAGAACAGCAGGTGGAGGTTAGGAGACGGCCGTTCCCCTTTCCTCGTGGTGTTGGTTCAGGAACTGGACTTGAATCTGTGATGGTTAGTTTTTACCAAAAGCTCTCAGGACCACTCCCACTCTCTCCGGAAGAAAGCTTGCTCATGCGTCAAAAACATGTGATGCAGTTATTGTTTATCTGGACTCCGTGTTAGCTGAATAGGGTGAACTTGACCTTGTTGCTGAACACATCTTTAATCATTATAATAATTATTATTATTATACCCAAAGCATAATAATCCATGTCATGTAATTAAAATACCTTTATATTGAACCAAGTGGTCATGTTATGATGATTATATTAAACAGTAATAAAATCAATGAGTTTATTAATTATTATCATCGTGACTTGAAGTGTCCTTCTGGACGGAACAGCAGATGATGTTATGATCTTGAGCAGACATCGTGGCTCCTTGGGTTTAATCTGTGGATTCAAACATACTGTTTGACCCAGCTTGACCCAGCTGGGCAAATGTGACCTTTGCCACAAATCAGAGAACCTTCATCACGTTACACCATTTTTTTTATATGCAATTTTGTTCTTTTAACTAGAAAACTGAAGGATAATGGGAAAGTTTCCCAGGACAACAAGCACTGTCTGCTCTTATGATTCTGCTCAATTTCAAGAGGAATAAGAGGATGTTACTGGAAGAATAATACAGCAACTAGAGAAAATGAAGAAAGCATTTTTCTTTCAATTGTGTTTATGTTTCAGCTTCTGATGGTAGAAAGAGCAGTAAATGACTCCACATCATACCAAAGGTCTGCTTCTGCATGATCCCGATCACCAGCTAGATGCCATAAAAGCAGCAGACAGCATTAGCAGTCCTGCTCAGTGTGCATTAGGGCTTAAATGCGTGTTTAAATATTTATCACCTCAGTGTCAGCCTATTTTCAGTAAAGCACTGTATTTACTGTGGTTTTAAATGGTAGCTAATGTAACCCGCATTAGTCTGAGGTCTTGGAGTGAGAACATATTAATTACAGAAATGTAGACAAAAGTGTTGCAAAATAAAAGAACATAATACAAAAGAATAGTCTTTATTGGTCCTACAGTGGGGAAATCCACTTTTTACAGCAGTACCAACACTTAAGAGAATAAATGGAAGATAAAAAATAACTAAGTTACATGTATTTACACATAGGTGGTAATCTAGTGTTATAACGTTTGACCGCTAAACACCACAAATAAAAACTAAAAAACTCGGGTTCCAACACTATGCAGCATAGAACAAGAGACACAGACATACTATGTAAATCTAGTATTGAATACATACTGAATATTGTTTTGGTGTTATTGTGTACCAGGATAATGCCAGTTTAGCTTAGACTGAGGAGTTCTACACTCTTACTGCAGAGGAGCCTGATAACTAAAAGATCTGCCTCCCCATCCTAATTTTAGATATTCTGGGAACCACCAGTAGACCTGCAGTCTGAGAGCGAAGTGCTCGGTTAGGAACGTATGGAACAATCAGATCACTGATGTATGATGGAGCTTGATTATTAAGAGCTTTATATGTGAGAAGAAGGATCTTAAAATCTATTCTGAATTTAACAGGTAGCCAATGTAGGGAAGCTAAGACAGGAGAGACGTGATCTTTTTCTCAAATTCTGCAAAGCATTAAAGTCTTTAAACCTAATCCCCACATCCCGTAATTATTGGTGAGATGATACCAGCTGGATTTGACACATGAATTTGTCTCTGAGCAGCTTGTTCACTCCAGATTTTCTGCTTAGATCAAATCACTGGTTTTCCAAGACAGACACCCAGAGGCAACACGACCTTGGTGCAGATTTTAAATATGAAAGCTGAGCAGCAGCAGAGGAGCAAAGAACACGACTGTGCAACATAACAGGGAGGCTGCTTGTCTGGAGAGAGGAATGTTGCTGAGGTCTTAAAGCTGCTTGACCAGAAAACACTTTAGCTTGAGTTAGTCTGGAGCGACACGAGGGCAGAAAACACTGGCTTCGTGTATTATGGAAGGCATCGAATAATCTGACATTCAATCAAATTGCCAACATCAAAGGGATCTCTATCATCTCAGTGAATTCCTTGCTTCAACGGTAGGTCAGATACCTTTCCTGTTTAATATTCTGCATACGTGAGTTGTGTTTAAATGTTATTTATGCCATAAATGCATTTTTTTTCATACTCCTCAAATGAAAAATGAAAATTTCTGAAAATTCTACAATTTGATTTCATGCAATGCTCTACCTGTTTATTTTAATCAATATTTACAAAAAGTGAGCTGGAACAAATGTGATAAATAGTTTTTTTATTGCCTTTTCTAAAACGTATTAATACAATTTAAAATGTGTTTTTACATTTATGTTAATAAAGGGAGATAAATATTTCATAGAACAGATTCAAACAGCGTTCCCGCTAAAACGTCCAAATTAGCATTTAGATAAGGAATAAAGACATAAAATAAATCTAGTTGAGGTTATATCGGTGTGTGTCTTTTAAAAATACAAAAAGTGGTTTGATTTGAAGCAATGTTCTTGAGAGCAACTCTTTGGAGGTTAATGAATGTAGATCCTTTGTGCCTGGTCGTTTACCTGCATGATTCAGTGTAACATGATTTCATTTACTGGCACGCACGTTGCTGCTGCGGCTGTGTCTCTAAGGAATGTGTGCTTCGTGCTCGGCAGCCGCTGTTGGGACTTGTTCAGAATTTCCTCTTTTCCAAATTAATCTCAGCTAAAAAAACGTGTTTAAAATGAAAGAACGAGTGTGTGAACTGGTCCTTCAGCTGCTCTCTGGAGACTGAACTGGATCACATGCTGGCATGCAGGTAAGGCTTGTTGTGCTTGGGGGTGGGTGGACAGGAAAAGTTTCCTTCGAAAACAGGACGAGTAGTCATGGTTTCAGAGCCCGAGGGGGAGGCAGAAGCTGGTGTGGGTGGGGCTGTTTACACCCTTTTCCTGATGGTCAACATTATGGAGTAAAATGTTTATGTGCTAGTTTTATGTTTCAGCACAAAATCCCAGGATAGGTTTTTGTTTGTGGTTTGGGTGGGAGGGTCTGGCCTGATTAGATTAGAACACAGAGTAATTGTGTGATGCTAATCTGATCCTTTCCCTTCTGTTTCTGTACCATCTTATCTGAAGGAAGCCCATCAGGCCCAGAGCCCCGCTATGATGCTGATGACAGAGTTCTCCAGATCCCTCTAAGAACCCTCAACATGGAACATGACAAGAACTGTTCGAACAATGGCACGGCTCAAAACCCTGTGTCTGCCAGCCTGAACATGACTCTTGGTATCTTCTTCAACATGGTGGCTCTCATCATCCTCGTCAAAGCCTACAACCGCTTCCGCCGGCGGTCCAAGGCTACCTTTTTGCTCTTTGCTAGTTCCCTTGTGGCCACGGATCTTGCTGGACATGTGGTCTCTGGAGCCCTTGTGCTGAGGAGATACACATCAAGCTCAAAAAGCAATGTCACATGGGATCCTGAGAAACCAGATGCCCCCTGTCAGTTTCTGGGGGGATGCTTGGTGTTTTTTGGCCTGTGCCCACTCTTCCTGGGTTGTGCCATGGCTACGGAGCGCTGCCTAGGGATCACCAGACCCTTGCTGCACGCTCGTCTAGTCACCACAACAAGAACCAAAATATCCCTGTCTGTGATCTGGTTCCTGGCTCTCTGCATGGCCCTGTTGCCATTCTTTGATCTGGGGGAGTACACGTACCAGTACCCAAGGACATGGTGCTTCATCAGAGTTGTGAAAAAGGCTGAAGCCACAAATTTAGTCTTTGTGATGCTGTTCTCTGGTCTGGCTTTCAGTTCTCTGGCCCTGGCCTTTGTGTGCAACACCATCAGTGGAATGACTCTGATCAGAGCCAGAATAAAGCAGAAACCCACGTCACAGCGCTTCCTGGCAAGATCTCACGATACAGAAATGGTGATCCAGCTGGTTGCCATCATGGTCACTTCCAGCATCTGCTGGAGCCCTCTGCTGGTGAGTCTGAGGAGCATTCCGACACCTTTAGGAGGGAAACATTGCAGAATATCAGCAGTGGTCAGCTTTGGAAGAAAATAAAAATCTAAGGAATTTGTTTCTCTTTTGTAAATCTAAAAAAATAATTGTCAACAATTTTTTAAATTAGTGAATAAATCAGAACAACGTCCAGAGATCAACTAATTCTATTTTACCTAAATATTTTTATCGAAATCTGTATTTTATTTTCTGTTTTATATCACTCCTCAGAAGGATCTAAATGTTTTAAACCACTAGTGGATAAAATCTGTTAGACACTGATTCACAGAATGGTTTAAAATGAGCAGCATCGTTTTGCCCTGAGCAGACGGGGGCGTTCTCGTTAGTATCAACCAAATAGGGAATTTTGCATCTGCAACATTAAAACTTAGATATTTTACATCTGACCTTGTTTAAATGGCTTCATGAGTAGCTTCACTTTGAAAAAATTAAATTCACGTCCCCCAGGGTTGATGAGCTGCCCATATTAAAGTATACAACCTGCTGTCTTTAAAGACCAAGTTCATTCGTTTTTCCAACACATCTGCAGTAGTTTCTTCAATAAAAGAATGCCTTGTGAGTCGATCTCTGTGGTTAAAAGTTCTGGTGCTCATGTGTCACAATCTAGAAGTGAACCAGCGGCGTGGGGAACTTCAGACGGCAGAATCTGGAGTCTTTTTTTTCCTGATATGTGGACATCTCTCCTCTGATTGGCTAACAGCAACACGACTCTACCACTGACTCTGTTTGCTCTGCAACGTTGATCTTTTATCTCCACAAATAACACAAACCTGGAGGAGTTCTGCTGTGTGGTGGAGTTGCTAATGCTAACGGTTAGCTTCTACTAACTGAGACGTTCTCTGCTGTTTTCAGGATGCTAAAACAACAACAGCCTTCAAGTGAGTCAAGATGGGTTAGTCCATGTATGCTAACTGACAGTGTGACGTAGATCTGTGTGATGGTCGGCCAATGTAGGAAATAGGGGTAGAACACGTGCTTTTCGAGGGGCGGTATTGTGTGATACCATGCAGGAAAAGTTCCTTTGGACAATCAGTGTTCACCTATGAGGCAGCTCGAGCATGGAATACAACATAAGAGAATCCGTCACAGGCAGCACATTTACATTAAAATTAAGAACTAGTTGGTTGTCAATCAAATTTACCAGCACTATGTTTATGTTTATGTATTTAGCAGACGCTTTTGTCCAAAGCGACTTACAAGTGATAATCGACATGTTGCCCTTGAGGCTAACAACAATAGTAACAACAACAAATTGACATCAGTCATGGAGAGGAGGGAACAAGGAGTGGACAGTAGAGGGGGGGACAGGTGCAGGGAGGGTGCTAGTTAAGAAGATGCTCTCTGAAGAGCAGGGTCTTCAGGAGTTTCTGGTAAATTGAAAAGGAAGCTCCTGTTCTGGCAGTGCTTGGAAGGTCATTCCACATTTGTGGAACAATGCATGAGAAGAGTCTGGATTGTCCTGAGCGTGGTGTAGGCACTGCTAGCCGACCATCCTGTGATGACCGGAGCGGCCGGGCCGAGACTTAAGCCTTTGCAAGAGGATTCAGGTAGATGGGAGCCGTACCATCTCGGACTTTGTATGCTAGTGTTAGCAATTTGAATTTGATGCGTGCTGCTAGCGGTAGCCAGTGGAGCTCAATGAGCAGAGGGGTGACGTGTGCTCTTTTTGGCTGATTGAAGACCAGACGCGCCGCTGCGTTCTGGACCATTTGAAGAGGTTTCACAGTACAGCCTGGAAGACCAGTTAGAAGGGCGTTGCAGTAATGGAGGCGGGAGATGACAGTAGATTGCACCAGCAGCTGGGTGGCATGTTGTGTTAGGTATGGTCTGATCTTACGTATGTTGTACAGCGCAAAGCGGCATGAACGGGCAACAGAGGCAACACGATCTTTAAAGGCCAGGTGTTCATCAATCACAACACCCAGATTTCGAACTGCCTTTGAAGGAGCCAGAGATAGGAAGTCATTCTGGATTGAGATATTGTGCTGTATGGATGGTTTTGCTGGGATGACAAGTAGTTCTGTTTTAGAGAGGTTGAGTTGGAGATGGTGGGATTTCATCCATTTTGATATGTCAGAGAGACAGTTTGATATTCGTGTTGAGATAGTGTGGTCGTCCGATGGAAATGACAGATAGAGCTGGGTGTCGTCTGCATAGCAGTGGTAGGAGAAGCCGTGTGATCGAATGATCTCACCCAGTGAGGTGGTGCATATGGCAAAGAGAAGAGGTCCCAGTACAGAGCCCTGGGGGACTCCTGTGGCAAGGTGGTGCATGGTAGAGGACTGTCCAAGACAAGATACGCTGAATGATTGTCCTGTGAGGTAAGATTCAAACCAGGCGTGTGCTTTCTCTGTGATGCCCATGGTAGAGAGTGTGGACAAAAGGAAGCCATGGTTGACAGTGTCACATGCAGCCGATAAGTCGAGCAGGATAAGCACTGAGGATTTACCTGTCGCTCTAGCTTCTTTTAAGGATTCCGTCACTGCTAACAGAGCAGTTTCAGTGGAGTGGCCCTTTTTGAGCCCAGACTGGTAAGGGTCAAGCAGACAGTTTTGTGAGAGGTATTCTGTCTTGAAAGCCACCCTTTCAATGGTTTTGGACAGAAAAGGGAGGAGAGAGATAGGTCGGTAGTTCTCCACATGATTTGGAGGAAGAGATGTTTTTTTAGCAGTGGTTTAACCTGAGCATGCTTGAGAGAGGCGGGAAATGTACCTGATGTCAGTGAAGCGTTGATCACATGTGTGACTGCTGCGGCTACTGTAGGAGCAATAGCTTGGAGCAGCTTAGTCGGAATGGGGTCCAGTGGGCATGTAGTAGGGCGGCTGCACGTGAGAAGCTTGGACACACAGTTCTCAGTGAGAGGGGAAAAGAGGAAAATGAAGCAGTAGGGCTTGAGATGGTTGGGCTAGAAGGAGTTTGTGGTAGCGAATGTTCAGGAGTGGCCAGTTGAGTAAACTGTTTGCTTATAGCTGCCACTTTGTCAGTGAAGAATGAGGCAAAGGTGTCAGCTGATAGATTGTTGGTAGGAGGTGGAGATGGAGGGGTGAGCAGAGTTTTGAAAGTTGAAAATAGTTTCTGAGAGTCAGTAGAGCTGAGAATTTTGTCAGTGTAGAAAGCTTTCTTTGCATCAGTGATGCTGGCAGAGAGAGGAGATGTGGTTGGGTGCCAGATTGCGGAGGTTGCGGCGGAATGAGACCATTGGGGAGGAAGCAGGGACCTCCCTTGTAGAGTTGTGCTGAAATGGATGAAGTAATGATCGGAAAGATGCAGCGGTGTGACAGAGATTGTGTCTACGGCACAGTTTCTGGTGAAAATGAGGTCGAGTGCTTTTCCAGCTTTGTGAGTTGGAGGGCTTTGTACTAGTTTTAGATCAAATGATGACATTAGTGACAGGAAGCCTGATGAGCTGGGATTGTCCAGGTGAATATTCATGTCTCCAAGGACCATTGTGGGACAGTCGTGCTCAGGAATGGATGAGAGCAGGGTGTCGAGTTCATCAAGAAATTCTCGGAGTTGACCTGGTTGACGATATATGACAACCAAAAAGAATTTTTTCGGTACAGTCACCTGGATGGCATGGTATTCAAAGGAGTTGTACTTAGTGATTGGTAGCAACTGACTGTGTATCCATTTATTGGAAATTAACATGCCCGTTCCACCACCTCGGCCAGATGCACGAGAAGTGTGGGAGAAAGTGTGGTTAACTGACAGAGCAGATGGGGTAGCGTTGTCACATGGTTTGATCCAGGTCTCAGTGAGAGCCAGTGCATTGAGTGACAGGTGGTTAGCATATGCAGTAATGATGTCAGCTTTGTTTACAGCTGATTGGCAGTTCCACAGTCCCATAGACAGGTGGGTGTCTTCAGGGGAAGTTGGTTTCAGCGAGCTGAGGTTTTGAAGGTTGCGAAAGCGGTTTGCTGAGTGACCTTCGTCTGAAGCCAGTGATCACAGGTATAGGATAATGGCACATTTTGCTAGGTGTTGATGGAGCAGCGTCTGGGTTGAGTTTGTTTGCTCCGTGTACCTGCTCTGTAGACACGCGCAGGTAGACACGTATGTCTTTACCCCGGAGTGTCTTCACACCGGAGGGGTGAGACTCAAGGGCTGACGCTTCAGTTATGCCACCAAACTTATGCTGTGCTACTAATTGGAAACAGGTGTTCATGCAGCAGCTGATTGCAATGGTTGAGACCTAGATCACCTGATGAGTGCTTTCAGGGAGGACAGAAACAGCTCGTTTACAGCCTCTTATTGCACTTATTGTTTTCAACTGGCCCAAACCGGAGCTACTAGACAACAGGATAACCCACAGATGAGTTTCCTTCTCTTTTCCCAATGGAAGATAGTGCAAAGCAAAAGTTTAAGAAGACAAAAACAGGCACTAACAGACACTCAAGGCCCTTCGGTGCAGATTCAAGTCTGTTTGAAGCACTAGTTTTAAGAACCATGTTAGAGTAGATATAATTGAGTTCATGTGTGGGGGTGTTACTTTGTGTGATGCCGTTTTACTTGTGTTGCTCTTAAAAATGTTTAAATGTTGCTTTTTACTTGTTATGTACCTTCAGGCAGGGGAAATTAGCCTTACATTAACACTGTAAAATGTTAATTAATGCACACTGTCCTTTTAAATAAAATAAAAGTTATTAATTCATTCGTTCAGAAGACTGTTTTCATGTTCAGCCTGCATGAGGAACTCAGAGTGGCCGACCGTATTAGAAAACTAACAAGTAAAAATTCTGTCTCAGTGAACTTGGTCTTCAAACAGCTAAAATTTTCTAAGTGACCCAGAAGTGTTTGAGACTTTATTCTATAAACATCTTGTTAGGCATGAACACTTTTTCTAAACGATTGCTTTTCAACAAGCTATTCCAGAGCTTTTATTCAGAAACCTCAAATGGATGAAGAGTCAGTTGAAGTAATCTATCTTAACTGTAAACTTTTTTGGGTTGTGCTACAGAATTAAAAATATCGACATAATCCAGGTACAGTGCTCAGCATGAATGAGTACACCCCCTTTAATCAGCGGCTCCATGAACAAAAGAGCAGTTTGCAGAATGTTCACCAGGCCGCTGTTACTGAACGGGTGTTTAACTCCATGACATGAAATTAAGGTTATTAACATAATTTAGATCACAAAATATCCAGTTTTATTAAAACTGGTTGAAGCAAAAAACGAATCCACGGCACAATTAAACTACTACATCTAGTCTTTTGTATGACCTCCGTGATTTTCAAGGACAGCACCAAGTCTTCTAGTCATATTAGCCTGACCTGCCAGACTCGACCTCTGTCTGCACAGAGAAAGAGTCTGGTAACTCACAGGCAGAGAGGCACATGGGGGGCGGGACTAGCCAGCTGAAAAATAACCAATCAGAAAAAAGGCGGGAATGCCGACTCTACAACACTGTAGTTTTACAGCTTCAGTCTAAAATGGCGTCTGGCGACGGCGCAAACATGTTTCTGTAGAAGAAAGACTTTTAGCGGTTCTACTTGTTGTGGTTTTAAAGACGTGTCCAAGTCATTTAGAACAGAGGAAAGAGCCACAGCGAACTTATTCGAATAGGAGAGTTCCCAGACCCAATACTTCTTTTTCTTTCCCGTTCTTCAAGAAGAACCTCTTATAGAGCCTGGGGTTAGGGTTAGGGTTAGGGTTATGGTCCAGCCTGGATGCTGGACGGAGAGGGATGCTCTACTTGCTGCTTCAGAATTCCCCACAGGTGTTGGACTGGGTTCAGATCAGGAGGCAGACTTGGACTTTCAACCACCTTCACCCTGGTCTTCTTCAGAGAGGCACCAGCAGCTTTAGATGTGTGTTCTGGATCATTGTCGTGTTGGAAAAGTGCACGACAACCATGTGCACGGAGTGATGGCAGCCTCTTCTCCTTCAGTACATTGTTGAGTTGATGATACCATCAATGGGGTGCAGCTCCCCAACACCAGCAGCACTCATGCAGACCCACATGAGGATACTGCCACCACCATGTTTCACTGCAGGCACCATGCATTTCTCTTTGAAATCCCCACCTTTACGACGCCGTACACATTTGAAACCATTAGTTCCAGAAACAGAGATCTTTGTCTCATCACTCCAGATTCTAGAGTCCCAGAAGTCTTCATCCCTTCCAGCATGGCAAATCCTAGGTGTGCTTTTTTGTGCCTGGGCTTTAGGAGAGGCTTCCTTCTTGGACGATACCCATGCATGCCATTCCTCTGCAGTGTGATGTCACTAGAAATGGTCCCTCCAGTTTGGCTTTCTACTGCTTTAGCTAACTGCAGTGAACTTGCATGGCGGTTCCTTCAGCCCTTTTCATCAGAAGATGCTCCTGTTAAGATGTTAGCTCGCGTGGATGACGCGGACATCTCTGTAAGATGGTTGCACTTCCATCTTTCTTAAATGTTTAGATCACCTTTGCTGCAGTATTTTGACTGATATGTAAAGCTTTGCTGATCTTCTCGTAACCCTAACCTTTTTTGTGTAAAGAAACAATTTCCTTTCTCAGATTTTGACAATTCTCTTCCATGTAGAATGCGTGTTCATTTGAATTTTGTAGTCTTAAGTGTGGCTTTTCTCCCAAGACTATAATTGGGCTGTACTCATTTTTGCAACATGGGCTTGAATGGATTTGATAAAAAAATATTTTTTGTGTGGAAAATTAACAAATCTTGTTTGCAGTCAATGGCCCACATTTGTTTGTGGGAGTGTTTTATAGTATGGTAGCCCATAAAAAAAGTTGATTCTGAAGGGAAACTAAAGGCTTTCTGACAAATGTAGTGGGGTGCACTCATTCATGCTGAGCACTAGTGATGCACCGATATGAAATTTTTGGGCCAATACTGATATCCAATATTAAGATCACTGTTATGGCCGATAACCAATAAACTGACATTAATGCTTATAAAATCAGCAATTTTGTATAAAATGAAAATTATTAAAGCCAAATTTTAAATCTAGCCAAGGCATTTGTGGTTGGAAGTAAATGCAAAAATGTGTTCAAGTTCTCTGGTTCAGGTCAATTAAGTTCCGACAGTTTTCAATCACGAGAACATTTCATCCCCTTGTTTTCTTGTTTATAACCCATTTTGCCACACTTGATTCCCTTTAAATTTTCTAAAAGCTCAACTTTGATGATGTCCTCTTAACTTTGTTTATGTCAGGATGGAGTTAAAATATATAAAAAGTTGCTGAGCAAATTAGCTGTGATATGATGAATAACTTACTCATTTCGGAGATGCCATTCTGGTTTTGAGGGCTGATACCATTTCCTGATTCTTGTATATCTCCAACCTGGTGTCCCAGAGCAAAGGGAACCCCAAGGTGCTGTTTAACACCATCAGCAGCATCGTGTCTCCTGCCTCTCCTACAGCCTCCATCCACTCTGTTACAGACTGAGAGAACTTTCTGTCTTTCTTTGTGGACAAAGTCAATAAGGTTAGATCTAGCATCTCTCCTTCAGCCTTATCGCCGCCTCTCCCGACTCTAACCAGGACCATCATCCTAGATAGCTTTGCTCCTGTTTCTTTGCCTGAGTTAACCAAACTAGTTAACTCTATGAAGACCTCTGCATGCCCCCTCCACATCTTACCCTCATCTTTGTTTAAAAGTGCTTTTCAGTCCATCGGTCCCAGCGTGCTCTCTATAATTAATGCTTCTCTGGTCTCTGGTCAGGTCCCTGCTTACTTTAAGAACGCTGTAATCCACCCGCTTCTTAAAAAAACGAGTCTCGACCCCTCTCTCCATAGCAGCTTCAGACCCATCTCTAAACTTCCGTTCATCTCCAAGATCTTGGAAAAGGTTGTGGCTAAACAACTCACAGCTGCTCTTGATGAACATAACATCTATGATAGCTTCCAGTCAGGTTTTCGTAGAGCTCATTCTACTGAAACAGCTCTTCTTAGGGTCTCTAATGACCTTCTGACTCACAGTGATGCAGGGGACTGTTCTGTTCTGGTCCTGCTGGACCTGACTGCAGCCTTTGACACTGTTGACCATCACCTGCTACTGGAGAGGCTGAGAGACTGGGTCGGCCTATCAGGATCTGCTCTGGAGTGGTTCTCCTCTTATCTCTCTGAGTGCTCCTTTTCTGTGGCCGTCTCCAAGTTTAGGTCCTCCACCACCTCTCTTACCCATGGTGTCCCACAAGGTTCTGTGCTGGGGCCTCTACTCTTCCTCCTCTATCTGCTTCCTCTTCAGCACATCCTGAGCTCCTTCAAAGGAATCTCCTACCATCTTTATGCAGATGACATCCAACTGTACATCTCCTTTAAGCCCCATGAGATGTCTAAGCTGCAGCTGTTACACACCTGCTTAGACTCTATCAACACCTGGATGGTGGGAGCTTTCTTCAGCTGAATGAAGATAAGACTGAGATCCTCATCTGTGCCCCAGACAAGCTGGTTCCCAAAGTCAGAGACTCTCTTGGTCAGCTTGCTTCCCACACCAAACCTTCCATCAGGAATCTTGGCGTGACCTTTGACCCAGCTCTCACCCTGGATTCTCATGTCAGTTCTCTTTTTGGCTCTTCCTTCTTCCATCTCAGGAACGTTGCTAAGCTGAGTCCCAGCAAAAATTCGCACCTAGCAAAGGTGAATTCCCAGTCTGGATAACTTGTAGAATTTTTTTTTATTGTCGGCAAATGGGCATTCAATGATAAAATAAAAATATGTCTTATTTCTAAGATTTAGATTAGGCTAGGCAGATTCAGATGACCAGCTGATTTTTTGGCACAAGTGTGTTTTATCATTTGTAAAGGAGATGAGACAAGGTATCGTTGTTATTTGATTTCAGGTTTTTGGACTGATGTCAGCCGCACACTCCTACTCTGAAGATCAAAAAAATACAGACATCACCTGCATGTACAGCAAGCTCATGATGACTGGCGTCAGAATGGCAACCTGGAACCAGATCCTGGACCCGTGGGTCTATATCCTTCTACGACGTGCAGTCCTCAGAAAAATATACCGCATCACCAAAAAGCAGGTCAGCTTTAGAGGTAGCACCTTCAGATCTGTCCGCTTGGACATTGGATCCTTCCCTAAGTCAGAGCAGAACTCTGTCAAAAAGATTTAAAGGAGGAAGAACTGTGACACAGCACTTTAAAATTACAAGGGACATTATTTTATTGCCAGTGAGATGACCTGAAGCAGGAAAAGTGTAAAAATAAAAAGCTTGAGCCTCCTGATGGAGGTAAAGGAAGTGAGAACACTGACATGTTTGATGTTGTTGCGTTGGCCCAACAGGGAACCAGCTCCCGCTCAGTGAGAATGCCTACTAGCTTATATGAGAGTGCAATATCTGTGTCTCCTCTTTGAGAGAGTGCTTGGAAGTCTGTAAAGTTTTTAGAAGGTCATTGAATTCTGCACTCAAATGAGACAAAAGCTGTCCTTGATTTTGTTTAAGACCGTGATAAACAACTGATGTCCTGTTGTTATTTGTGAGAAAATGGGTCAGTCTCAGGCTGATCACTAAGAGTCTGTTCATGACAATAAAAGTGGTTTTTGAAGATGTTTTCAAACATAGTAAAATTGGTACTTCCCATCTGTAATATTTCCACATTTATGATGATTGTTCAAGTAGCTCTGACTTCTTCAGTTTTTTCCAACAGTGAAGCAACATCTCCAGCCAGGTTGCATGTTTAGGAACCAGAGGCTGATGGACTCAGTCCAGGGGTGGACTGGGACCTAAAATCGGCCCTGGAATTTTTACGGAGCCTTGGCCCTCACAGCGGGGGGTTGCACATGGGGTGTTTATGTGGGCCCGAGCTGTGCCAGATAGGCCAGTCTGTTCTGTTTTGAATAACTAGTTACAGCCAAACTAATTTTAGTACATTTTTGTTGTCAATGCCTGTTCATTCTAGATAAATGGCACTGCCTTTTTATGCAGATTGCCAAAGATTTAGCTAAATCAGTGTTTTCACTAAAGCAGCTCGATTAGCTGCTAACACCAAGGAAACTGCTAATGTTCTCATTTTGTTTGTTTTGCCTGTGAAGCCTCTTCCATCAGTGTATTTTTTTCAATGATTCCATTGAATGGATGAAAAGCAACGTCTGACTTTCACTGGTTAAATTTCATAGAACTTTTAGTCACTACTACTTTTGTTAGATTCAAATTATTTATGTGACCATTGCAGGTTTTTCTTTCATTGATAAAAAGGTACCAAAAATGTCTTCTTCTTCTTCTTCTTCTTCTTCTTCTTCTTCTTCTTCTTCTTCTTCTTCTTCTTCTTCTTCTTCTTCTTCTTCACTGAGGATGTACTCCATGTTGTCCAACAACAAAATCAAGTGTGACACTGCATCACAGAAAATACTCTGGAGAGTTAAATTGTCAGCTGACCAAAGACAAATTAAGCCTCAGCCAGACGGGCTCCCATTCTAGAGGAGAATGTGATAAGTGGAGATGAGATTCTGGAGTGGTTGTTCTCATATCTGTCTGAATGTTCCTTCTCTGTGGCCATCTCCAAGTTTCAAGCCTCCCCCACTTCCCTCACCCATGGTGTCCCACCAGAGCCTGTACTGGGGCCTCCACTTTTCCTCCTTTATCTACTCCCTCTCTTGCACATGCTGAGCTCTTTTAAAGGATTCTCATACCACCTTTATGCAGATGACAAAGTACACATTCTGGACAGAGAAGATAGATGGTTTGAGAGAGGAGTGAGGAAAGCTATCTGTGTCAAACGAAAAAAAAACCACTTTAAATAGGGGAGGGGCTTAGATTTCACCTTTCCAGTACCTACAATGCAGCGTTGAGTCTCATTCCTAAGCAGTTTCAGTCTAGGTCACGCCTTCCTGCATCTAATCAACACAACGACTAATCAGGCAATGGAGAGGAGGGGTACTCAGAGTAGTTTCTGCTCATTAAGTAATAACAGACAGCTACAGCTGATAAGCTTGACTCTCCCATATTCCAGTTTGAATTGACAAAGGTCCTCAAAGGGGAAGCGGAACGTCTTCAAGAAACCAAAGAAGTCCAGCTGCCTTCATCTGAACCCTTTGAATGACCTATATTGTTGGAAAGAGGAGAGTCTGGACATGAATCTAAACAGCTGCTTCAGTAGGACCCTGTTGCATTGTTCTTACTGTGTGTTCTTCACATGTGTGTTTAGCTTTTTTCACCCTTTTTATTTAGCGTCAGTGTTCAGGAAGAAAACATGGACTCCATCATAAGAATGGTAAATTAGCACCCCCTAGTGGTGATGTGTGGTTAGCGCATCTAACAGCCACCATAAAGGTGCCCCATCAAAAAATAAATAAATAAACAAAATTCACCAGCTGCCTACTGGTTGTGCAGCACCAGGCTAAAGGTCAAAGGTGACAGATCATCTGCTGCTGTGGCCCCCAGACTCTGGACCTCTCTCCCCCTGAGCCTGAGATCAGTGGACTCAGTGGTCTCCTTTAACCTCACCTGTTCATCCTCACTAGCTTCTCTTCATGCGCCTGTTTCTGTTAGTTCTGTTTATTTTCATGGTGCCATTTTGCCCATGACTTTTACTTTTTTGTTGTATCTATTTTATTTCTACTGCGCTTGTGAAGCTCCTTGTGCTTGCTGTTTTCAAAAGTGCTATCAAATATTCTTCTTCTTCCTCAACAACAACCTCAGATCAAGCTTGGTCTAAAAAGGTGTTTAATTTGGTCAGTGGGCTGGCGAGTTCACCCAAACCCCAGATGGAAGGGCACTGGTAGTCTGTGAGATGTAATCCCTTTTATCGTCCAGGAGTCTTTGGCCTTTTTCTCCTCACGAAGCTTTGGGTTTTCCTATCTTCCTCTTCCATGCTACATTCTTATGTCTAGCTTTTATCTGCTGATGGTTACGGCCAAACTAAACAAACACCCTTAGCGCTGCCGTCGCCAAATAAGTGAAAGGGTGATTGTGCTGACTAAACACAAAACTACACGTTAGATCGCTTTTCCAGGTTTTGAGTTCATTTCATTCACATAGCGCTAAAGTCGCTACTTCATGTTCAGCTTTTTTATGTTTTTTGTTGTTAGATATCAGATGTATGAAAACACCATAATGGTGAGCAGGAGAGTGAGCCTGAGTGCACCATTCCCTAAACACAACATGGCAGCTCCTGTAAAACTGACATTTCTGTCTCACATTTTAAACAGACAAAGGTGATGAATCCATCTTTATTTTGTCTGTGAACTTGATATAGCAGACCTTCTGGGATTGTACTAATCCTTCTAAAGAGGTAGAGATTTTAGGAATAAATCTATGAAATGTGATATTCTTGGGGAAGTGACCAAAACACATTTGTTTAGTCAGGTTCCTTTTTTAAAGGTTTTAAATCATGTTTATTTCATCATTTCTGAGTGTTTCTCAAACATCCAAGTATCATGATGAGTAAAGACTTGATCAGTTTACCTTTCCTGTATTTTGTTTCTAAGGTGAAGGCTTAAATGGTCTTCAAAAGTCTCAGAATGAATGTTGTTTTTGTCTGACTCTGTAAAAGTCAGTGTTTTCCCTCAGTATGAAGACGTTGAATTAAAAACTGAACAGCTAAATGTGCTCCTTGTGCAGCGCAGTTGGCAGAAAGCAGGTCTATTACTGTTTGTGTTGTGATTGGAAGCTTGTGCATGCGTCTCTGCTGACTGGGACTGAAGTTAAGCTAATTGAATGTAACGCTGTAGAATAAGGAATGTGTGGCTTAATAAACGTTTTATTGTAAGTTTTGTGATTTAATCTGGATTTTTAGCAATTTAATGTTTTATTGGCTTATAATTTTTGTAAAATCACTCAAGATAGTAAATCGAGTTGAAAAGATCTTTCTCATTTTCCATTTCCCCGTTTTTGTTCTTAAAAGGCAAACAATTTTCCATCAAATTGAAAAACTACTTCTGGCCTTAAATCGGCCACGTTGAGCACCAAGATTAGTACATTCAGCTGTTGTTTTATTACCTTCCTATATGTACATTGCCCCTATCTTTTGATTCAGTTCTGTTGACCATCACGACCCATGATTTTGCTGTTTGACACTGAATCACCAGAAGGGAAAATGAAGGTTATTCTTTTTCATAAACATTTAGCTCTGTTTTTGTGTTAGCTAAAGCCAGTTAGCCATGATAGCTATCTTGACTCCAACAAGAGACAATTATATGAGCCTTATGAAATTATAAAGTTTTAAAGTCATTTATGACTAGAAGACTTTATTCAGAGTAAAAGTCTCGTCTTATGCATGAGACCTCGGCTTTCCAGCTAATGATAAATGACCCACACTTGTATAGCGCCTCTCAGAGTAAGGACTCCAAAGCGCTTTACACTACAGTGTATCATTCATCCATTCACACACTGGTGGTGATGAGCTACGATGTAGCCACAGCTGCCCTGGGGCGCACTGACAGAGGCGAGGCTGCCGAGCACCGGCGCCACCGGTCCCTCCGACCACCACCAGCAGGAAAGGTGGGTTAATCTTGCCCAAGGACACAACAGCAGAATTCTCTGTCCGGAGCCGGGATCGAACCTGCAACCTTCTGATTGCTGGACAACCCGCTCAAACTGTTGAGCTACTGCTGCCCATGAGCTAAGGAGAGTCCTGCATCTTGCAGCCTTGAGGCTTATAACGCACGCAGGATGTGTTAAGAAGTTCATCTCTTCTTGTTGGCACCCCGGTGAGACTGACTCATATGAGGGAGTTTGGCCTGCAAGTTAAAAGTTAACTTTTGGTCATTTTGATGAACTATTTGGCCTTTTGGTATGCTACACCATGCAGCAACAGCGGGGTAACACGCACAAACACTTTATTTCAGCCTCGGATGCTCCTCGATCCACAGGTCCAACTCAACTCGTGTGGAAAAAGATGCCCCCTCTGCATCTGCTACCTGTATATGTTAGAAACACAGGATGTCTGAATATTTACGCACCTCACCTGCTGGTGCGCATGCTCCCACTGCCACGCCTGCCCTCTGCTCCCCGGTAGACATGCTTGTCCCGACGCACCACCACAGACGCATTCTCTCTAAACGTGCATCACTGCCGTGCAGCACGACGTGCATACAGCGCCGTCAGCTCAGACAAGAGGAGAGATTAAAAGAGACGAGTTTTCTGAGAACATGCACGTTCCTGCAATAACTGACGGCACGCAGCACCTGACCATCCAGTGGTCAGATGTGGAAGAGGTGGCATCCAAACAGAAATCTAGACAAGCAACAGGCACAAGAAGGAAACAGTCAAAACCAGAGGAGGAGTGTGTTGTTGGAACAAAAAAACTTCGTGGACATAAACGTCGCAGCTGCTGTTCACGAGACAAGAGAGAATAATTGTGTCTGGACGTGGACTGGAGATGGTAGTTTACAGCAGCAGCATCATCCTTCAATAAACTCAAGTCACTTTATTTATAAAGCGCCACATCAGGACCAGAGTCGTCTCACGGACCTTCACACAGTAAACCACACGGGTCAGGTCAGGGGCCTCATTCATCAAGCTTGCTTACGCACAACACGGGGTCGGAAAACTGCGTGAGCAACTTTCCACAAACTGAAATGTGTTAAAGAATCACTGCATGGCATTATTGGCATAGTTGGCCTTGTTGGTGTATCGATTTTGGCCGGCCTGCAGCAATTCGTGTGATCACAGAGTAGAAGTATACTGTATACTGCAGAGACACTCCTGCATAACGTGTCACAATGCATGTGCCGGCACTCCTGGATGACTGTGCCAATGGCAGGATCCGGATGGAGAGAGTGTTCAGAGATCACACAGATATCCTGGCACATGATGATGACTGATCAGCAGATTTAGAGCACCAGAGCACCCTCCTACTGTACTAAGCTGAGCCCGGTGTTTGGTGTGTATTAGTAAAAGGCTTCAACATTACCAGTCTCCTCTGCATGGTCAGTGTCTCCCTCCTGCTCCGCACGATGCCACGCACGCTTGCTGGTCCGAGTACTGCTGAGATCCTAACGGCGAGTGGTGGGAGATCAGAGGTGCCAGGGCCTCCGCCAGTGGCAGACACACTCTGACGATGGCAAGCCATCTTTTTTTCGCCTCCACATTCGGATCAAATCTTTTTTTAATATCCGCCATGGATCTCTCTGAAGAACTCACAGCATTGGCGACTTCAGCAACGCTGTGCCATGCCGTGGGTTTTCTCTTATTTGATATGCCACTGCTGTGACCTCCAAAAAGCACTTCCTTTCATTTTTCCACCTCACCCACAAGTACCTCAACTTCTGCTTCAGTGAAAGCACGCTTCCTTGATCTTCCTTGATCTTCCTTGATCTTCCTTGATCTTCCTTGATCTGCGGTCGCCATCGTTGATGATGGAGCGCTGCAACAGCCGGCTTATGTATATGCATGGGATCCACAAGGCGCTTTGCATTGACCATTTATGGCAGAAAGTGGGCGTGGTGAGGGCGGGATGTGATCCAGAAACACCTGAGCACATTTCTAGGTACTTTGTGACTTATAATATTTATAAAGATGTTTTATAGGTCACAAACCGACCTGGCGTAAGTACTTTTTTTTAGCTGCTGAGCTTAAGCACGGTTTTAGTAAGGATTCTACCAAATGTTTTATCAATGAGACCCCTGGTCATTAAGCCAGTCAGTAATAATGTTTCCTATATAAGGAACCCAGCAGGTTGCATCAAGTCACTGACTAGTGTCAGAGTCTTTACAACAATCCTCATACTAAGCAAGCATGCAGCGACAGTGGAGAGGAAAAGTCCCTTTTAACAGGAAGAAACCTCCAGAGGATCCTGGCTCAGTATAAGCAGCCATCCTCCACGACTCATAACTTTTTAGTTTTCTAATGTTTCTGGTGTTTGAGCACAAAAAAATGTGCATACAAAACTTCCTAATGAAAACTATTAAACAACGTTTTATATGTCCCATTGTTTTACATGAATTTCATCCTGGGCTTCAGACCTAACAAAATATAATAAAAATGTTGTGTGTTTAACAGTTTAGGTGTCCAAGGCGGATGTCTGAGTAGAAGCAGCTCTGAAAAGAGCTGCTGTGTCTGTAATCACTCGCAGCGCCGCAGAAAGGTTTTGACTTGAGGTCAAAGGAGACGGTTTCAAAAGAGGCTTCTTTCCTGATCTGGCCGACTCGGAGGTCAGCTGGAGACTGAACTACTCGGGAAGTCATTCTTGTTTTATTAAACTACTTTGTTATGATTTCTGGTAAAGTTTGGCAGATCAGAACTTGACACGTTTCTGAGTCTTTACCAACATGTGTAAACAATGATGAACTTGTTAAATCAAACACACACTGATCTGTGATATAAATGGATCACTGTGAGAACAATATTCATTTCAAATTCGTTGGTTTAAGCACAGATTTTTCAAACATTTGATTTAAACATCTTGTTCATTCATCACATGCGATTATTGAAATTATAAATGTAAACTCATGGAGTCTTCACTTATTCAGAGTGAAGAATGTTGTCTGGCTTCTGAGCAGAGAGCGTAGGACCTTGAGACAGAGCGTCTATTTGAACGTTTGTCTTCATGGAATGTCAACACGTGCTGAGCAGAACCTTCTGGGTTTAGAAGGCCACATGGGAAGTGGATTTATTTCTGTAGATGAAAGGTTATGTTGATCAATATATCGGTGAAAGTTCTGAATCCCTGCTCTTACCCAAATTACCTAGTTTCATCATCAATCAAATATTAATAGATCAATAATATTCATACTTCATATTTATATGGAATATCACATCCTATTGATCATTCATTAAAGTAACTGCTTGCATCACGTTACACCAGCTTAGACTCTATTAACCCTCTCAGGCTCAAAATAAGTTGTGAAAAAAGGACAAACAACTAAGTCTTTCAGGGGTACTTCTGAGTTAAAAACGCTCATGAAATACGTACGTGGAGTAACCAGGTAGGTAGGTTTTACCGCTGCATATCTGCAACGCCTGCCCCCAGAGGGTCAAAACCTGGATGGTGGGAGCTTTCTTCAGCTGAATGAAGATCAGACTGAGATCCTCATCTGTGCCCCAGACAAGCTGGTTCCCAAAGTCAGAGACTCTCTTGGTCAGCTTGCTTCCCACACCAAACCTTCTGCCAGGAGTCTTGGTGTGACCTTTGACCCAGCCCTCCCCCTGGATTCTTCCTGAACCGTCTACAGGTGGTTCAGAACGCCTGTGCTCGGCTTCTGACCAAGTCCTCCAAACACACCCACATCACCCCGCTTCTCCTCCAGCTTCACTGGCTGCCAGTCAACTTCAGGGTTCATTTCAAGATCCTGGTTCTGGTCTATAGGGCCTTACATGGACAAGCACCATCTTACATTGGTGATCTTCTTAGTCCCTACACCCCCAGCAGGTCCCTGAGGTCCAGTGATCAAAGCCTACTGGTTGTGCAGCACCAGGCTAAAGGTCAAAGGTGACAGATCATCTGCTGCTGTGGCCCCCAGACTCTGGACCTCTCTCCCCCTGAGCCTGAGATCAGTGGACTCAGTGGTCTCCTTTAAACTCACCTGTTCAGGCCTTGGTGGGACCTTCATCACCCTCTCCTTGTTCTGCTCTTATTCTGCCTTTCCCGGGGTCCACTGATTTCCCTCTTTCCTGTTCATTTTCTCTCTCCCTTCCTTACATTTTTAAGCACAATTTTTTCTCTCATTTTAAACATTTTCTAATGATTTTTTAAAATCTTTTAAATATTTTAAATGTTTTGTTTTTTTGTGAAGTGCCTCGTGATTTTCATCTTGAGAGGTATAAAAAATCGTTTTCTTTCTTGGATGCTGCTGCAGTTCAGATGAGACAACACCAAAGTCGATCATCGAGCTGCAGCCTACGGTATCCTGGTGCCAAGAGCACTTATGGACATCCTTCTGCTTGAACATGGTGTTCATTATTGCCAAAGTTAGATTTCCAAATGTACGTAATCTTTCTCACCTCAGACATGACCCAGCAAACATTCGGACGTTTAATCAACGTTGAAAAGACTTCGGGCCGGCCGACACGTCCCGTCATGGTTGAAAAATAGTTCCAAAATGAAAGTTGAACTGACGTCTTTTCTGGACGTGAATTACACGTAACAATTATACACGTAACTACAAATCTGAGTGGAGTTTTAGGAAATGTTATGTTCAATTTTTTTTATTTGGACTGCCCAACTGCGACCATTTTTGGCCGTGGACACGACGTTGCCGTCGGAACAATATTTGCTGGGATTCTATGTTGAACTACACGTACCTAATTGTCAAAATAACAGTTGTACATATAACTGTAGGCATGTACAAATGTATCTGAATGGATTTTTAAGACATGTTCTGTTATATTTTTTTTTACAAATTCGGGCCGTCCTAGCATGACCATTTTTGGACGTGGACACCACGTCAGCGTCGGACCAATGTTTGTTGGGGACCGTCCTTGTCTACATATTTACTTTCTTTTAATTTGCACAAACGCAGTTGAACTGTTTAATTTTGGTGTACTAAAATGACTACAGATGATTACCGAGCCTAATATGGATAAATGTTTATTTAAACAGGCATTAAAACTTTTCTAGTCAGTACTGTTTGGTTTAGGTCTTCTTTCGTTTTGTATGATAAATAATTGATTAATTGCCCTGACACTACTGTCTTCTTGAAGAATTTTGTTGTGATTAAAACACTTCCAATTGTTTTTGGTTTGTCCTTTACCTAAATAGAGTATATTTTGTGCATTTTTGTAGTTTGTTCCAATGTCTTTGCATAAGGTAATAAAAGTGCACAAATACGACTTGATGAAAAGGAGAAATATAAACTCAATTGCAAAAGGAATTTGTAATCTCCTCTATTCTAGTCACAGCAGAAAAATAGGTTAAGTGAAAACGTTAAACTCATTTCATATTAAATATTCTTTTTGACATTTTTAAACGTTATTTATTATTTTAACACAAATGTGGGAAACACGAGCACCGAGTTGATCGTCATGCTGAAGTTTGTTAGCCTAGTGAATTTATTTTTGTCTGGTCTGTGAAACAAGACTTTGTTTTTACTCAGATTTTCTTTTAAAAGTGAACATATATGCCACGCCTCCTTTGCCGAAACTCTACTTTTCTATTGGCTAAGATTGCTGTCTCCTGCATGCATCGTCCAATAGGCGCCGTTATCTTTCAACTCGTGGGTGTTCTCTCTCTTGGCTACTGTCTGCTGCGGTTCCAAGCTAACGTGCTGTGTGGTTCAGTCTGAAAGAGCTCCACAGTAAGTATCAAATAATACTTAGTCATTGGTATTTGATGGTTAAGTAGACGAGACTGTATGGAAACGAAATGAGATGCATACGTTTTTCGTAACATCCTAATAGAACTCCATTGTTTTAGAGTTTTATCCCGTTTTTCTTTGTTCCGCAAAGCTAGCCTTCTGATGCTAATAGTTAGAATATTAGGTGGGGTCTTGGTCTGTCTCCGACCATTTTGGTGTCTGATAATCATCAGACATTCGTTTACATTCTGAATGTTTTAATAGCCTTTGTAGTTTAGACGAAAACAGGGTTATTTATATATGTACTATTCAAACTGGTTAAGTAGTAGCATGAAAGGGTCTGCGAACGTTATTTCATAGTCGGGGCTAACTGAAGCTAGCGGCCGGCTCTGCGTCACATTAAAATGGCGTCTGTTTTTTAACCCCCACCCCCTTCAGGGCGAGCTGTTGGGGTTCTGTGCTAACCGATGGTGCTAACGGATGTTTACTTACGAACCTACGAATTACTACTGTTAGATACTTGTATCCGAGCCTTCTAGGTCCTTGTGTTAGCGGGCTAGCATGACTTTGCTTCAGGGATTATTGAATGGAGCGAAATGGGGGCAGTGCTTTTTTTAATAGTAATAGTGTTTGATTTGTAGCTATAAAGTTTAAAACAACCGGATGTATTTATTGATAATGTGCAGCGTTATCTTCTATATTCTATCGTTATTCTACTGTAAACATGACATTTCTCCAATTGTTTACGGCATCAAACACGGTCTTTTTTCTCTTTATTCGTGGTTTTTAGAATCAGAATCGGAAAACTTTATTGGTCCCCATGGGGCAATTAATTTGTAGCTTACCACACAGAATAACTCGCTCATAAAAACAACCAAGCAAACAATCCATTTACACAATCACACAATGTGTGTCACTACCAACATGCCGAACACATCCTAAATGAAGGGTAGAGGATGAGCAGCAGCCCTCCAAAAATGGCACATGCTTAAAGCCGATGATACTTCGCAGTTATTTCGCCACCCCTCCCGGCTCAGAGTTAAGCAGTTCAATAGCTGATGGAACAAAGGAGTTGGCAAAGCGGTTTGTTTTTCGAGAAGGTACATAATAACGACGTCCTGAGGGCATAAGAGAGAACTCAGAGTGCAGAGCATGGAGGGGCTGACCAAGGATACATTTAGCCTTTTTTCACGCCCTCTCCTCCCAAAGAGACTGTAAGTCTCTTTGTTTGGCGCCAATAATTTTGGAGCAGATTTTTACAATGCTCTGCAGCTTCTTTTTGTCCTTCATGGACAAGGCTTTGTACCAACAAACAAATGAAAATGTTAAAATGCTTTCTATAAAACAGCTATAAAAGTTGCAGAGAATCCTTTTATTCACGTTAAAATAGTTCAATTTCCTTAAAAGATAGATTCTCTGCTGAGCTCGTTTAAAAATGGAGTCCGTGTTTGTGACAACCCGCAGCTTGTTGTCAATCCAAGAACCAAAGTATCTGTACTCCTCAACCACCTCCACCACTTCACCGTGGATGATGCTACTACCAAGGTGGGGTGGTGCGGAGCGTCTAAAATCAATAATCATATCCTTGGTTTTTTTGACGTTCAGGTCCAGGTAGTTACTGTCACACCATTCTACAAAATCTGACAGCGCGGGACCATGGTTTATTTCAGATCCCGAAAGTAAGGACATCAAAACAGTGTCGTCCGAAAACTTAACCAAGAACCTGTTGTTCTGAGTGACCCTGCAGCTGTCTGTGTACAGGATAAACAACAGGGGGGACAGAACGCATCCCTGAGGAGATCCGGTGCTGGACATTAATGGGAGAGAAATCTGACCATTAACCAACACCCACTGGGTCCTCCCCGTAAGAAAGTTCAAAATCAGTAAGAGAAGCTGATCGGGCAAATTAAAAACATTGGCAAGTCTTTCAATCAGGATGTGGGGCTGCATCTTGTTAAAGGCTGAAGAAAAGTCTGCAAACAAGAGCCTTACACAAGTCCCCTTTTATCAAGGTGCCTGTAGACCGTGTTCAATACACAAAGCACTGCATCTTCTACTCCCTTATTTTGCTGGTAGGCAAATTGAAGTGGGTCAAGTCTCCCCTCTGTCAGAGATAAAATTTCGGATTTTAGAATTTTTTCAAAAGTTTTCATCACAAGTGATGTGAGTGCTACTGGTCTAAAGTCAGACAGTTCCTTTGAAGTACTTGATTTAGGGATTGGGATTATAGTCGAAGTTTTCCACAAAGATGGAATCTGACCCACATCCACACGTTTGAAACAATCTGCTAAAAACACCACTCAACTGGTTGGCACAGTGATGCAGGGTACGCCCACAGATGGCGTCGGGGCCCCTTGCTTTCCCCACCTTTACCTTTTTAAGTAAGATGGTGACCTTGTCTAGTGAAATTACAAATCCCTCACTAGGTTTGAGGGCTTCCTTGCAGACACCAACCTTTCCAATAAGGTCCACCCTCTCAAACCGACTGAAAAATGAATTAAAAACATCTGGCAGGACAGAGTCAGGCACTCCTTTTACATCGATACGTTTCTTATCCTCTTTTTGGTGATTACAAGAAGCCATACATTTGATACCCTTCCAGGCTGCCTTAAGGTCACCACCGCTATACATTTCTTCTATTTAGTGGTCGAAGATGACAGTTCTAGACTACTGCCTATGTGTATTTATACATGTACCTTTGTTTTTTCTTCTTCCAGTTATTCTCAAGCGCTGGTGCTGCTGTAACAAGCACATTTCTCCACTGTGGGATCAAAGTCTATTCTATTCATTTGAATAAATAAATCACGACAAACATTGTATTTTTGCTAATAATTATACTATAGTTCTGTATTTTTCTGTGATATCACCTATTTAAAATGAACCGTGCCTAATAAGCGTGTTAATATACTGTAAACATGAGCAAAGCTGTCGTAACATGCTGCGGTAGGAATATTCAACGAGGAAGTATGGATAGTCAGAACACCGGCCGGACAGAGAATGCTGCTGTAGTGTCCTTGGGCACTTTTACGCATGACACGATTAGTCGACTACTAAAATAGTCGTTTGTGGCAGCCCTAAAGATGTTGCAGCGAGAAGAGGCGGAGAAAAAATAAAAATACCTAAAATAAAACGGCCAGGGCTGCACGTAAAATATTTTCTACAATTTAAAAAATATTTTTCAATAATTGTCTTATCGATCAACATAAAAAACTTTTTCTCTATATCATCCAGCCTTACTATGTCATTCAGTGTTTTAGTACTAATTGGGGGGGAGGGTTTCCACACGTCCTGCTGCTGTCTCTCACCTGTATCAGCTAATGGAGGGCTCTAGTTTTATTGCGCCGTTCGTGTCAGCGGACACGGTAAGGTCGGGGAGGGGGGCGGGGCATGACGCTTAGCCTGGCGAGTGGCCAAGCAAAGCCTGGCGAGCCGCCAGGCTTATAAAGCGCTGGGGGAAACCCTGCAGTGTGACTTTGAGTTTCTTCAAAAGATTATCTACATGGGCGTGAAGGAGAGGGAGTCATGGAGCCAGATACCGAAGTATTTGTATGTGTGGACCACCTCTATGATGTTTCCCTCAAGAGTGGTCGTCACTGAGGGCATCCTTGGAGGTCTTTAGAGTTAGAAACCAACATTAGCTTAGTCTTGTCAGCATTGAGGACCAATTATAACTGCAGAAGTGTTTGTTGGACCTCATTAATGCTTTCTGTAAGAATTCAACAGCTTTAGTGGGGGGTGGTCCACAACAGCAAATTATTGTGTCATCAGGGTAAACGTGCAAATTAGCATCTGACACGCTTTGTCCTATGTCATTAATATACATAATGAACAACGGGTCCCAAAACTGAATTCTGTGGTACTCCCTTGTGGACACTCAAAAATTTAGGACAACCCATCACATTTAACACATTGAGTTCTGCCCATCAAGTAGTCTGTGAACCATGAAATAGCTGTATTGTGATAATATCATATCGTGAGACATGTACCGCGAATAGTATTGTATCGAGAGGTACCCTGAGGTAGCCCTAGTCATTCAAGTTTTCAATTTAATTTTATTTATATAGCGCCAAATCTCGACAAGAGTCGTCTCAAGGACCTTCACACAGTAAACATTCTAATTCAGGTCAGTTCATTAAGCCAATCATAAATAATGTTTCCTATATAAGGAACTCAGCAAATTGCATCGAGTCACTGACTAGTCAGAGTCTTTACAGCAATCCTCATACTGAGCAAGCATGCAGCGACAGCTGAGAGGAAAACTCCCTTTTAACAGGAAGAAACCTCCAGAGGATCCTGGCTCAGTATAATTTAATAATTAAATAAATTATAAAGCCCTTATTCAAAGGTTTTGGCTCAATCACAAGTTGGAACATTTTTTGGACAGCTGAGTGTGGCGTGAACTCGATGTCAAAGATCATGCTGCACATCCCCTTTCATATTTATTTACTGTCATTCAGTAGCATGTTCGAGACTTGGCAGAATGCTCAACCTTGTGGCTGCCGTTCTTAGTTTGCATTTTATTTTTGGTGCTTTTACTGACATAACCGGTTTAACTATGTTTATCATGAGGTCTTGGGGCGATTTTATCTAAACACTCAAAGCTGAACATGAGCTACAGAAATATTCACACAATATTTAATGTGACTTTAAAGTATAGGTGAAGTGACTACTTGGTGACAAACACACATAACATTTCTATTGTTACACAAAAATAGACATCAATTGAACAACAAAGACAACTTGAGTCACTAAAATTGTACACAAACAGCAATAAAACAAGCAAAATTGAAACAGGGTGTCCGCGGGGTTTTAAAAAGTATTAAAAAGTGATAAATAAAAATAGTCAAATTTAAGGCCATTAAAAGTGTTAAATTTGGTCTCAGAGGTATTATTTTTTCCAAATTAGGTATTATTTTTTCAGACTATCAGATGTCGTATTCTGAACATCGACATAGAACTATATTCTGAATGAAATGTTTTGAACGATTATAAAAATAAAA